GCTCCACTAACGTCTTCGCAAGGGCATAAAGTGTAATTTCATGGAATTGCATCAATTCACTTTGCCTAAGTAACTAACATTGGGAATTTGTAAAAACATTTAGTTACTTTTGTATTTCATTATACTTATAATGGAAGGTTTTGTCCTATCCTACCCGTTCGGCTAACGACCCTCCACTAGTCAAGAGTGCGGTGGGTAAGAGTGGATACCCATTCAATCACCATATTATAGGCAATTTCCTTAAACACCCCTTATAGACCAACTTCGTGAATGAGGCCTACTAATGGTAAGACTGACTTTTACTCATACATATATACAATGTTAGACTTTTAATCTTATATATAGTATAGGGTGCATTTTACACTTTTAAAATATTAGGTGATCAAATTTAACAATTATACTTTTAATTCAATTAAATTGTAAACCTAAACTTTTATGGATTTATTAAACTTCTTTTAATTATACACCTTAATTAATTAATAAAACCATAAGGGTGTGATTTGAACTTTTCAAAACATTACTAGGGTTTTAGAATTTAACATTCCTAATTAAACTTTTAATCAACTTTTAAATTTCAAAACTTGAGGGCAAGTTTTGAAACATTTCAAAACATTAGGGTTTAGAATTTAAATATATATCATAATTAAACAATTAATCAAAATATAAATTCCAAAACTTGAGGGCAAGTTTTGAAACCTTTTTCAAAACATTAGGGTTTTAACTATTTAAATTTCAAAACTTCAAAACTTTTGGGTTCAAATTTAAACTATAAAACCTAAAGGGGAAAATATGAAACTTTTCATAACAACAAGGATCAAATAACAAATAATTCAAATTAACATTTTATCACATAATTATCCATATTTGATTTATTTAATGATTTCTTGCAAAACAATTTATCAATTTACTCAAAATAATTAATCAATTATCACATAAGGAAACAATTATCTTATTAATTGATAAATATCTTCAATTAGATCAAAATTATAGTCAAATATATCATATAATCGGATTAATATTGATCTAACATGATAAGGTAACTATCCATAAGCAAAAACAGCAAGAAAACCCGAGATACCCTCCATCTGACGAGTTGACTCGTCGAGTCAGGCTTGGACGCGTCGAGTCTGCATGGACTCGGCGAGTTCAGCTATGGACTCGGCGAGTCCAGCCTCCAAAACACCAAAAAAACGAATTTTTTGAACATGTAATGCATCAGTACAATTGAAACCAAGCTAGTCTTTTTGGTCATAAGACATCCTATGTGCTCATACAAACCCTAATGCTTGGATCTAGGTTTCTCTATTGTACATGCAAGATATCCAAGACTATAAACCCTAATACTAGCATTCAAGTGATCATATTAACATAAGAATAGGTTTATAATGTTACCTTGATTGTTATGTAGCAATAACAATCCCAAATCTCCTTGTATTGACTTTGGAAGGCTTAGAGTCACAAGTGTCACTCCTCTAATGGTTCACAAACACCAAGAGCAAATGGAGAAGTTATAAAGAGAGAGGAGAGGTATAAGAATTCGTCTCTAGGAGCTCTTGGGAAGGCATGAACGAATTCATGAGCCTTAGGGGGTTTATATAGGTGTAAAGATCAGGGTTTTAGTCGTTATCCTAATCTAGTTGCTTGCCTACCAAGTAACCATAAGATAAGTCTTAGAAACCCTTATCCTAGTCGAATTCTAAGGCCTTATCACCTTAGAACCGTCCAACCCATTAATAAGATAATCCTTACCTTATTTTGTAACTATCACATAATTACAATTCAGCCCCTCTAGTTTAATTAATTACACTTGATCACAAAATTAATTCCTAATTAATTATTGACCAATATTAATTAAACAAATATGATTTCTCCTTTAATATATATTATTCGTATAACATATTAATAACCTCTCTTTCTATTTATTTCTCCAATCAAGTTGCTTTGGTGAAGGCAACCCAAAAGGATCATGCACCATCGGGTCAAGTACATACCAAAATAGTTATCGACTTAGATAGTAATCCAACAAAGTGTACCTGTGCGAGAGAAATCCAGGGATGGGTAACCCCCTAGGATGTTTTTGCACTGGGAGCCCAAAGCAGACAATATTGTGATACATGCCAGAGGGGGTGTTACACTGCTGATCAGGACCCTAACGGAAATTTACACCCTTCCTCGTCAGACGAGTGATAGGTATAACAATCTTGGAGAAGTCTTGAATAAATCTCCGATAATACCCTCCTAATCCCAAGAAACTCCTGATATCCAATGGAGACTTCGGAACCTCCCACTGCATCAATGACTCATTATTGGTCGGATCAACCAAAATATAGTCATGTTTAATTAGATGCCCCAATAACGGTACCTCTGTTGGCCATTTCGACTACATAAGGCTCATATAATTTCCTAGACTTATGGCTTAAAAGTTTTCTAAACTTAGGTGTAATGGAACTTCTTTCAGCACCAGAATCAAAAAGTGTATATATGCATAAACCGTTAACAAGAAATGTATCTATCACAATGGTGGGGTCCTGAATGAATTCCTTCATGCCAATCAAAAATGCTCTTGCTCTAGCATTTACTCCCTTTTTCAACAACCTTGGACAATTTCTTTAGATGTACCCAATAAACCCACATTCAAAGAAGGGTCGATTATCTGGAAAAGCAGCTATGCCTTGGTTGGTTGTGGTGGTAGGAGTAGTCGCAGGCTGGTGGCAGTATTTCGAGGTATTCCCTCTACGATTTGATCTGTTAGAATACATGCATTAGCTAGAGTGGTGTAAGTGACACAAATGGCACTTCAGGCGCTTTCCCGTATAATACTCTTGAGATGCAGGGGTTGCAATAGTTTTCGGGTCCGGAATTATGGCGTAAGCCCTGACAGTCTCCTGTCTCTTAGCTAGGAGATTGCTTAGAGGTATCCTTGAATCCGTTTCTGGATTTACGCTTGCTCTCCCTCGGCCTTGGGATGTCAGTCTTCTGGACTAACGTACCTCATTTTATTTCTTTCTTGGTTAGACTAAAAGCCAACCTTTTGGAACTATTGTATGTCGAAGTTTAAGAGGTCGTGGCCAACCCTTGTAACGAGGTGCAATCCTTACCTATCTAGTTTTAAATTTATATCCTAACTACATATCAACTATTGCACCTATAGGCGGCGTACCTAGTCAAATTATAGTATAGTAAAGTAAGCTGGGGTCGAACACAAGGAATAGAATTAACTAAAATAATTACTAAAAATTAACCTAAAATAAGAAAAAGTTAAAAGGGGGTTTTTCTATCTGATTTTACAAGTTCAGACAAACTTCAACTCTTAACTAACAATTTTAATCAATATTCTAAAAACACTTCCAGGGAATCCACCTTTTCCCTATGGTTACTTACTAATTATGGATTATTAAAGTTGGTTACCAATTATTATGTAGATAGAAATTCAAGTCCAAATTTACTAATATTTTCACCAATTCATGAACTACCTTGTATGGTCATACATAAGCAAAACACATAATTACTTATTAATTGTAGATGAGCTCTGTAATCTTTATCTAAGCAAACAGAAGTATGGTTACAATTTGTGTTCTCTAGCACAACTAAGTTTGTTACTTTTATTACTTTTCTAAGATTTGGTCGATCCTAGCTCTGGAAATTTAATGGTCACTATATCACTAGGTAATCAATTTCATGTAATTTAATGGTCACTAAGCTACACTTAACTTGAATTTAAGCAACAAAATCACAACTTTAACATGCTAGGTAATGATAATCAAACACATGCACACAACTAACTACTAAAATCCATAAATTAGATAACTAAACCATAGAGTTAAAGTATCATCTAGCTAAACAAAACCAAATAATTTAAGCTACTCACGGCTGAAAACATAAACACAATCTCAACATAAATCGACATTATTAAAGTAAACCAAACCAATGTAATGATGTGTTCTTTAATCTCTTAATCTCCAAGAAAATCTCCTTCAAAAGAATGTTTTCTGCACTTTATGGACACTAAAATTAGTTTCTCATAATACCTCTCCTGCAGAAAACTCTCCAAAAGCCTCTCCAAATCATAAGAATGAAGGATAATTTATAGTTTTGGAAAATACATGATTCACGACATGAATAAGGGTTTCATGTCGTGACATTGATACAAATCCTTATCGAGCAAAGATTCTGAATTCCCGTGTACTTATCTTCTAGAATACACACTCCACGTCTTGAGGTTGATTGTCACGTCGTGACCTGGGTTTTTTGTTGGAATTTTCTTCTTTTAAGCTTCCATCCTCCAAAGTTCCAATTCTTGTCAATTCCGGTACTTCATCTTCAAGATTGTTCCTTTTGGCTACAAAATACAATTTATTTCATAAGTACCAAATATATATGCAATTAACAAAAGTATTAAATAAAATGTACTAAGATATTACCTAAAATTTTGTATAAATATGGCAATATCACCTTGGATGGAATAAACCAATCGCTAACTGTACATTTCCAATTTCTTGTACTCAAGATTCACAAAGTTTGAGCAAAGGTTAATGAGGTTATTGAACCTATTGGTGTACGTCAAGATGTTAGTGTCGCTCTTGGTCAAGTTCCATAGTTCCTGCTCTAGCTGTTGCATCTCCTCCCAAGAAAAAAACTTCGCAATGAGCGTTTCTTTCAATTGCTCCCAAGACAGAGCATTGTCATTGGCGAGACCTAGAGTCTTTACATGTGCATTCCACCAAGACATAGTCGCGTCTGTGAACATGCAAGAGGAAAACTTGACCTTACTCTCCTCAGCACAAGAGCTAATCTCGAAGATAGACCCAGTTTTCTCGATCCATCTGGTAAGTCCTACAACTCCCTTGCTCCCATAGAACGTCTTGGGTTTGTAGTTCATGAAATCCTTGTAGGTTCATGCTCTTGGTGCACCTTTCTATTTCCTTGGGAGCCTTCTCTTCCCGTTCTAGAGTTTATGTGATTTCTATCAGTGTCTAGTGCCTCAACTAGTCTTCATTTGTCTATTTCCTCACATATGTGTGGTCTAGGGGTGGGTTACTTTGTGCTGAATGAGCATCCTGCTCAACTTGAAGACCTTGACTAGATCTAGTAATTATTCGGGGTGCCATTTCTAGATTCCTAAAGTTAATGTCGAGACATAAGTTAATTTGTCGGAACTAGCAAGTTTGTACTCTGATGGTTAGGTTGTGGGGTGTTAGTGTTAATGTTAATGGGAAAAACAATAACAACACATATTTCGTGTAACTAGGTGTGTATAATAAGTACGTGTGTGTATATATATATATATATATATATATATATATATATATCATGTCGAAGTTATCAAATATGGGTGTGGTTTGGGTAGGAAAAGCCTTGTCATTAATAAACATATGTGTGTAAGCATTTCCAACTATGCTAACCCAAAAGAAAAGTATTCATATCCCTCCAAGCTACCATGCTAGGGCCAAAACAAAAGAAAACTAAAAACCACAATACACTATAATAAATGTCATCAGCTGGACTAACTGTCTGTATACAAACTCTAGCCAATCATCAAAAAGTGAGACTCGAGACTCCACTCTACATGGAGCTCTAATCGATCCATGTGGCTAATAAACTCCTCTAGCACCTGGAGGTGGAACTAGGGCTCCTCTCGTGCCTCCTTCAACTAATCCCGCACGATAAGGTCCTTATCTCCATCATGTCTCACTCCATCTCCAAGTAATACACCCTCTCAGTAAGTTACATCAAGTCCATCCTCAATAAGAAGAGCTCAGTGTCCATCACTCCAATACGGTTTGAGTGATGGGCGATGCAGAGCACCAGAAGAAAGATTGCTTGTTGCACAGAAGTATTCGGGGTATGGAGGTATAGTGGATGACTCCCCCACCTCGAACCATGAGTTAATAGCCTCCTCTTGTGCCCAGGATCATATTTGGGGGCATCCAAATGGCGTCTTCGTGAGATATCTTTGTTGTTGGTGGTGATGTTGATGGGAAGCATCTTTCTTTCGTGAGGGGTAGCAACAACCTTCCTTGGGTTTTGCTTTACTCGAGTACCCGTGGGTGTCCTATAAGATCAATGGGAAGGAGTGGTGTGGGGTGGTGAGGTATCAGTGTTCTCCCCATCCCCATCAGGCTCGTACTCGGAACTTCAAAGCTCTCAACCGGTGTGTAGTCTGGTGAAAGTGTTGGTTCTTTACGGGTGCTCAATGGGAGTATAATTAGGCTTCGAGTCATCATCATCCTCCCGGGTATCGATTGAGTCATCAAGTACTGTATGCTCCTCCTCTGATTAGGAAACTACCCTCCACGATCAATCGTTTGTCATGCTCTCGACAAACCTGAATAAGAGATCAAAGAAGAAGATGCTTATGAGATATGTGAAGATAAATTAAATACTATAGAATATCAAATGATAAGTATATAATAGATAGTACCCGCAACTCTTGACCCCCCGCCCCCCACTATGTTGTAAGTTTGAGGTTCCTAGTGCGAAAAAATCCTCGAGTGTAGATGTCGTTAAGTTAGCCATCCCCAGACATAGAAGTCTTCTGAGTATAGAATCCTCTCCTAAGCATTTAATCAAGAAGTCCTCAAGCGTTTAGATTGCCAACCACCTTATCCGAGTTAGTTCGTTTGTCGGTCGAACCATAATAAAACTTAGTTACGCATTCTAGGTCTACTCGTGGTACGACCCCTGTACTATACCAACTCTAAATATGGTTTTTGACCTAAAATCCTAAGTTACGACTTCATCGGTTCGTGTTGTTGGGTAGTAGATATATTTATATAAGTGTATCTACATCACTCTTAATCTTTGTTGGGATGGGTGTATTTTAGGGTTTCGTACTCCAAGACTATCAAGTAAGAATTGGCTAGGTGACAAGTACTGTTGGGCTGGATCATTTTAGCATATAGTCGTTCTCAAATCCAACAACCCAAGTGATTGTTCAAATTAGACACCTCTCTCGTAAGTAGTCAACTAGTAGGGTAATTAATATTAATACTTATTATTAGGCTTAGAGGGCTAAACCTAGTCAGAGTGTAGTCCTAAATTATAGTTGTTTCTCCTAAGGAATTACTAGTTCGCTGTAATCTGTAGCTCTGATACTAATCTGTCACACCCCTGGCCGGCGGCGAAAGTGCCACGCTGTGCGATGTTAGGATGTTGGGATTTCAAGCCAAGATATGCATTGAATAATACTAGGGATGTACTAAAGACATATCTATTTATTAATTAAATAAAAATATTACATAATTGTTTGAGGTACGGGTAGGTTACGAAAGCAAAGTACAAAAGCAAAGCACATAAATTCTGAGTTGCATCATCGGGGTTTTCTCGTTCGTCAGACGGGTTCATTCTCCTGAAAATACATGTGGTTTGAGAGGTCAACATAATGTTGGTGAATCCACAAGTTTTATTTTTATAAAATGTGCGTGGGTATTTTCGTTGTTTTGTTTATCCTAAACTCACTACTTTTGAGTTTGTGAGTACTATCACTACTTCCATAGGTAGGTTCCTAGTGGTAGTTAAGATATTTAGTTGTGGGTTGACCAAAACTCACTTCCTAGAGTTTGTATGGGGAAATTGGGGCGATGGCATACGAGATGTTTTTAGATAGAGAGAATCAAGAGTGGTGTGAGGAAAATGAACTATCAAGACCTGCTATTTATAACAGGTTTGGAGCGCGCGCAACCCAAATGCACGCAAACAGTGCGATTATACCATGTGTCCTCATCTTAGATTGCCATGTCATCCCGTATCTCGACACAATCGGGTGTCAGTGCAAGGGTTGCACAACGCGTGAGCGTGTGTGACCATAAAAATTTAACTATGAAATTCTATAACTCTCATATACGAACTCTATTCTCAATGACTCTTATATCTATGGATGTATCGTCTAGTTTATACTTTCATTTTTCGACGTGTTTTTGTTACCATTATAATCTTATAAAAATCATAACTTTCACACATGATGTCTGTTTTAGGCGTTCATTGCCTCATAACTCCTATAACTAGTACTATGATTTTCTAGTTGGTGACTTTCTCCAAAAGTCAACCAATCTTCTTGTAGTTTTTGTTATTGTAACTTTTAATTACGGTAGATATACATTTACCATAAATGCCATATCTCACCCATACTATGTTGGATTATCAAGAAAAATTATATTTCTGTAATTGTGATAGCTTAAGGAGTCTGAATAAGCTAACCTTCTCTCCAAGTGACGCGACTTTTTGTGTACTTATTTTTGAACCTAAAGGTTAATGTAATTAAGGATGAAAATTTTGAATATATTAAACTATATCGGGTGGTTACGAGGTTGTCCTTAATACATTCTTACGCTCTATCATTAAATGTTAATAGCGGTTGGTGACGTATTCTATGGGTTGTCACATGTCCTTACATGCTTCCTTTGTGTTTGACATGTGGTCTTGCGACAACTATACTGTTACACCATTAGATACACTGTCTAGTGTGTTTTTCAATCCAATTAAGAATAATTAGTTTTATAAATTTAGAACTTTAATTAAATTTTAGTATATAAAACCACACATCATATATATATATATATATATATATATATATATATATATATATATATATATATATATATATATATATAGGATGTTTCAAATTAAGATACTAAATAAAGTGAAAACATTATTTTTATGTTATTATTCTATTATGATTTTTGTAAGTGTAGTATTGTTGTAATTCTAATGTAAATATTAATTTATGATTATTCATATATTCATTGCAGAATAAAAACTCAAAGTAAAATAATAACATAAAAATAATGTTTTTTTTTCACGTTTTCATTTTATTTACTGTCTTCATTTGAATATATATATATATATATATATCACGAGGTTATAACCCGTGGAAACCACGGTCCGTATATTTACAATTTTTATATAGATAAAAAATAATAAATGTAAAAAAAACAAAGATATATCGATTGTAAGTAATTATGAATTAATTTGTTAAACAAAATAAACATAATAATGTTATTATGATATGATTTTGTATTTTCAAAATTTGAATTTAATTTGTTACCATAAAAAAAAGAAAATAATAAAAATCATAGAAAAATATCATGTGTCAAAGATACATTCTAAAAAATTGGCTTGTATTATTTTAATTTTTAAGGTTTCATTTATTAGAAGAGATAGATTATTCAAATTAAGACACTAAATAAAATGAAAACGCTATTTTGAAGTTATTATCCTGCTTGTGTTTTGTATATATGTAGTATTGTTGTAATTCTAATGTAAATATTAATGTATGATTATCCATATATTCATTGCAGAATTAAGAAAAATAATAACATAAAAATAGTGTTTTTTTTACGTTTTCATTTTATTTATTGTTATATATATATATATATATATATATATATATATATATATATATATATATATATATATATATATATATCCTTATTCTAATAAAAGAATAGTTTTAACCTCCATTTGCCAAGTGTCATTCTAATACAACACCCTCATTAATATTATGTCATTTGTTATGTAGATATATTAGGCAACTCACTTCAAAATTCAAATTTATAGTTTCTAATAATATGTTAATTTTTAAGTTATAATAACTTTAAAAAATTTGATATATCTCTTAATTAATAATTAATAATTTATTTAAAATTATTTTTTTAAAATAACTGATTAATAATTATTAAATTTTATTATGAATGTTTAATTAATTTTGTAACCGTGGTTACCACGGGTTATAAACTAGTATATATATATATATATATATATATGTGTGTGTGTTTGGGTTTGAAGCGGTTCACTCAATTACCTAAATGCTAATGTGTGTTTTGTAAATTTCCCCCAAAGGGAGACATACAAACAATAGAACTCATTCTCTTATTGTCATTTGACTTGATCTTTCTTTTCCATTTTTACCCCTATTGTTTTTTGACTTGTGCTTTGTCTTCCCTATTTACCCCTATTGGTGTTTTACATAATCATCGGTTCTTTGATGCTATAGCTATTTGGAAAAAATGAACATGCCTCTTCGTCTTTCTGGACCACTTCAGCAGATGGTCTCATGTTTTTCATTTCTCTACATGTTGAAGGAAGGGTGACTAGGTGAGTATTTTTGACATTTTTTTATAAACATATTTATATTATACCGACCAAAAAGTAAATAACGATAGTTTTTTTTTTTTTTTCGCGTGTAATTAAGATCTTTATTGGAAAAACATTGAAAACATATCACGTTACTTTTTCTTTGTATCTTTAGTTCATGTGATTTCAGTGGATGGATATATTAAAAAAACAGTTAGCTAGGTGTTAGGAAAATTTATAAAATATTAGTACAAACATTTATCAAAGAACAACACTACATATTCCAATTAAGACAACTAATCTTTACACGCAACCGACTCTGCCATTTGAAAAATTAAGCAGGATTTAGGATCTTTAATTTTAAAGGGTTCTCAATTTTAAAATTTATCCTGATAATTATATATTTATATATCTATGCAGTTATCACCGTCTAAAATCTTATAGCGGTCACTTGCCGTGATTTAAAATAGCGGTTCTCGCGTGGGATTGAGGTTTTTAAATGTTATATATATATATATATATATATATATATATATATATATATATATATATATATATATATATATATATGTATATATATATAATAGGTGACCTTCCTTTTTGAGGGAAGGATATATAGCTAAAAGTACAAGTTTTCAACCACAATGTACAAGTATAGCAATGCATAAATTACATATTTAACACTTCCATTTTATATGATACTTCACTTACAACCCTCTATTTTGTAAATGTTACTTTCATCTCTCAACTTTTTCTAATTTGTAAATACATTTTATACCCTTCTATTTTTAAAATTTTACTTTCACTCTTTTAACTTTGAACTCTATTACCACTTGCATTTTCTAAACTTTCGTGTTTATCCCATATAGTATATATAGTTTGATTTTCTTTAATAACTTATGTTCATTAACTTT